TTCTCCCAGTCCCTGCCCTTGCCTAGCCCTCTGGGGATATGGCTTGTGCCCTTGGCAGTTAAGACCAAGGCAAAAAATCAGCTGCTCCTCATCTAGGAGCAGCTGGAGATGGGCACAGCTACAGCACAGCTCTGGCAAAAACTGAAGGCCCCAGCCCATGCTTTGATGACGCTCCTGGGCCAGGGTGGACAGGGCCCATGTACGGGTGGTGGCCCAGGTGGGGCTGGCCAGGACAGCCATGGCCTGCTGGTGACCTCAGACCGTTAACATGAGGCCAGGGGTCTTCACACAGAGCCCTAGGCATCCAGAGAGCCACATCTGACCATGAAGGTCCCCTTCTGGAGGACTGCACAGCCCCTGCTTACCGTGTGTTAGCCTCACTGCCTAGAACATGCTGGGAGCTCTGCCAGCACTCTCAAGCCTGTGCATTAACTTCCTAGACCATTTAAGAGCACGAGGGCGGCTGTCTCAGGGATGACAGCAGCGAGCCCCTTCTGCAGCCACCCAGGTGGGTGCAAGACGTGGCTGCACTTCACCCAGTGCTCTGCTCAAACTAGTCCTGGCCCTACTGAAGGGTGCAACCCCGGGGGTGCAGGACAGGTCCCAGGGCCTGTTTCCAAACCTCACTGAGGTGCTTCTATTAACCCAGGAGGCATTGGCTGTTGTACGTCATGCTGGCCTGTGCAGGACTGCAGTTAGTCACAGAAGTGACTCATCTTAGGGACCCCTGCTCAGGGCAGAAGCTGCTCCTGGCCTAAGGAGGTGGCTTCCTATTATTGCTGTGGACAGCCCTTGAATTATTGCAGCGCTACAAAATGAAAACATATCTAAGCGCTGCTCGGACTAAGAACTCAGTTCCTGCAGTGCTGAATGTCACCACTTCCTATGGGACTTCATGAAGTACCACCCTGTATTGACAGGGGACACTGGCGACTTGCGTGCTGCAAGCTGAGCCTGATGCGCTAATCCTGGCAGCTCACCCACAGGGGACAGCAGGAGAGCTGCAGCCAGCCAGCAGCTGAACGGCTCTTCTCGGCCCTTTACCTCTGACTGCAAGAAGCTACAGACTGCACTCTGACTTACAGGCCCAGCCCCTTCTGCTCTGACCTAGTGAGCAATGCACACCTCAGTTCTTGCCACTACATTCCTCCCTGGTGAACACCTAAGCTGCCTTCACCACTCTCCGCAGTGTCCCGCTGTTACTAAGGACTGAGCAGAAATCCCAGTGCGTGTGTCGGAGCAAGGGACCCAGCACGTGCTGATGTTAACACATTTATTACATATAGAACAGACACGGTTTGTTTTTGATAGCGTAGGGGACAGAGCACGGGAACGTATTCATACAGCGGTCTCTTTACAGAATGCCATCTTCAGACCAAACAGCGGAGTTTACAGGCCGTAAGACACTTTTTAAAATCCTTTTGTAACATACAAGATACTTTACATACATCACAGTGGAGATATGACAGGGAAGTGTGTTGAAGCCAGTCAGTTCTCACCTTGCTGCCACGCAGCCACCAAACGCCCACGGGAGCTGAGAGCAGAGGGCTGGTTCTACTTAGCTGTAGCTGCCCCTCCGGACATGTGCTTCTCTTGGAGGAAAACATGCACTGAGCTAGAAAGGGACCTGTTGGTAGAGGCCCCAGAGGTTTCTTCATGTTGCCAGGGCCTAATGGGTGACAGGAAACCGAGTACTGTCACTGTGCCTACAACCAGATAGAGAACAAAGAGAGGTAACAACATTGCAGTTCTGTATTCTCCTACAGAAACGTCACCACACCTCCAGAACTGAGCCTACAAGGGCTTCTTTTTCCCTTCACTGAGCCCAGATTACAAGTTTACCTGGCCCTGACTGATGAACCGTTACACGTCTCTGGAATCTGTGGCCTAAATGTCCCTCTCGTTAACTTTAATGCACCCTGTGTTGTGATCCAGAGAGCTCTTCTCAGCAGAAAGCATTTCTGGGAAAGGAGAAGCCTGGCGCAGCCAGCCATGTCCTGGTGAAGTGTCCCTGGGGAAAGGCCCCCCACATGCAGGGGGTGGCTCCAAGCATCCCTTGGCCAAATACCAGCCACACAGCCCGGTGTGCCGATGGCTGGAGGACACCAACCAAATGGTTTCCTACCTCGGTGACGAGGGGTGTGAGTACACACGTGACCACCACCGCTTGCAGGCAGCATGGGCACCGCTGGAGCTCTGTACCTTGGTGGCTGAGGACTCTGCTCTCCAGAGATGTCCTCTTGCCTCCCTGCAGGGAAAATGTATGTCCCAGCCTTTTCTGAACCATGGATCCAAGAAGCATTTTGGTGCTGTTGCATTGGGAGAGATGCCGCATGTTAGAGCGTCCCTGGGAATACTGCATCGCTGTAGCACACCAACATCTTTAGACCACAAGCCTTGGGGTCAGCCTGGTCCGTGGCGACAAGAACAGGGCACAGCTCTCTCCCCCCAGCTGTCCCTGTACCACCTCACTGGCACAGTGACATCCTTGTGAACCCCAGACGGCTGCACAGCTCAGGGAAAAAGCAAGATGACCAAATTCATCCCTAACAATCCCTTCCAAATTCATCCCTCACAACTGCTATTCACTCTAGTCCTGCACATCCAGGAGGGAGTGTTCAAAGGAAGCAGGACTTGTGGAGGCAGGACTGTCTGCACTGTCAGAAAGGGCAAACAAACCATTGCCTCTGTATCTGGAGCTGCCACGTTCTGTATATGGAGCCCAAAACTGCTCTCCCTGGCCCCAGTTTTAGCTGCTTCTCGTAAGCAGCACGCACATCTGCAATCCCCCAGCGCTGCTTACACAAGGAGGGCCATCATTATTGTTCTTGAGGGTTGTCAATTATCTTCAGGAATCAGAGACTCCCAAACTACTTAGTAACAAAGTCAGTGCTGCGATATTCAGTAAAAGAGGTCAGGAAACGTGGCCTCAGTTCTTTTTGCTGCATGACCCCAGACGAGACACGGCCTTGGCTGCACCCACCCCGTCTTTCCTAACCAACAGCTGCAGCGTGAAGGAACGCAGCCATCTCCTTCCAGCAGTTCCCAGCATGGGGTCGCAGCCTCATGAGTCAGAGTGATCTCAGTGTGCTAATGCAGAATTCACAGCAGACCACCATCGCCTGCCCTCACCCGTGTTTTAAAGGCCAACAAACGCTATGCATGGGTAACTTCCTCCTGAACCTTTCAGAATGTTCTTTTCTGCCAGGCTTTTCTGGAAGGGGGAGTTAAAGTATCTCTGCCTTTTATGCTCTTCTAAAAAGCAAGGTTCCAGTATCGCTTTGCTACCACAGTTTCCAAAGGCCCTGTGGCATCCACAGACACCCCTTTCTCATCTGAGGCTACCAAACAATCCTCCCTGGACACAGAGAGTCACCCAGCACAAGACTGCTGAGACGACAACAGCAGCAGAGGAGGGAGACTTCACATCGACAGGTATGGAGGCTGTGTGCCCCACAGTAATGGCACCGCTGCCTTATCCAGCCAAGCAGCAGAAGTGCTGCCCAAACCCTGACACTCCGACCTACTGAGGGTTCCTTGGACCTGGCTGCTCTCAGTCCCTGGGATGTTAATCTGTGCTTGAGGACAGGTAAGGTGGAGAGCCCACTGGTGAACTAGAAGGATTTCTGCTAGGGTGCTGCAAAAGTTGTGATTCCCCATCACTGCTTTGGCAGGGGATGCCAGGGGGACGTTCTTTCTCATGCAGGTGGGAGTGAGGTGACCTGCCAGAGAACCTGAGCAACCACCCATCCAGCTGCCAGCTCCCAAGGGCTGGGCAAAGGCCTTGCACAGCTCTAGCTCCAAGCTTCACTTCTTCAATGCACTGCCATTTCTCTCCTTGTAGATGCCATCTCCAGAGCAGAACAATAATCCAACCACGCAGAAAGCGCACGGGCCCAAGATGAAAGCTGCAAGTTCAGAGGTTAGAAGGGGGTCACAGTCCAAGGCAGGAGCCGTTGCAGTTGTCTGGGGTTGGTTTCCAGGAGTAGGTATAATGCAGGTGTTCTGTATGTACATCTTGGCATTCAGGCGGGAAGAGGGACACTTACATTTGTGGGAAAGGAGAAATTCTCACTCAGGGATATATGATACCTGCCACACAATTATGTGGCTCCTCTCAGCCTTGGAAAGTACTGGCTTCGCTTGGGTGGCGTCTCCCGCATTCTCATCTGTTTCATCATCTTCTCCATCCCCTGAGGAGAGAAAACAGAGTAAAAAAGGCAAGAAAGAAAATCCCAGACTGCACTGCTCTGGAATGCTTCCAAAGAGGCCAATACCCCTGCTACGTCTCAGCAGTCTGACAACATGCTGTCAGGAGTGGAAAGCTTCCTTTATGCCTGGAGAACATGTATAGTAACATGGTACTTTCCTGAAGTAGGACTGTATGGATGGAACAAACCATCTCCAGAAGTAGGGAAAACCACCCCTCCTTTCAGGGAAGCCAACGTTTGTAACACATTGCCCTGAAGTAGAACAGGTGAGCACAGCAGGGCAGCAATGCTTGGAGCCAGTGGCACAGACAGCTGTATTCTTTCAGGGCCATTAATGCAGACTGTGTGGCACTGCAGGCACAGGCACGGCAGGGTTTGGCAGCCTTGTGCTGTGCAAGGAAAATGGTTCTTATCTGCCCTCACAGCCAGATAAGAAGCAGGATGAACAGTGCTTTTCAGATTTTGCTCCCCACAGCAGTGGGTTCTCCATGACAGCAGTCCTGTACCCACACCCTCCCCCCAGTTCCAGATGCCTCCCACCACCAGTGCTCACCAATCCGGAAATCGATGTACCCTTCTCCTCCACTCAGCACCAGGACGTTCTTCAACTTCTGCCCCTCGGTCTCTGTGGCCGCTGTGCTGGGGTTCTCCGACGGGCTGTCCAACACACTCCCATTCAGGGTTGCTAGCACGTTGCCTGGGAGAGGACAGACGTGCTGTCAGTGCCTCTGCTCAGCCCCCAGGCAGTTAACACACACACAGACAAAACTGGGCCCATTCCTTCCGCTGGTGAAATCTGGGAGTGACCGCAGTTTGATGTCTGTGAGCACTAGGAATGGCACGCACAGCCATCTGCTGCAAATCAGCCAACTCCTGCTGCAGAATGGACGGTGGGAAAAGACCCTCAGAAGGAAGGACTGTGCTCATTCTTACCAGGCACAGAGACGAAGAACTTGACAGCGTCACGGTGGCCATGGAAACAGAGCTGTGCCTGAGCCATGGAGCAGTAGGGAATGAAACTGCTGGCCGATTTGTCACTGTTGTCATCACCGTACACGTGGATGACACCGCCAGAGCGGTTGCCCTCTCCTGAGGTGGGTGAGGTCTTGTTGGCTGCAGACAGGGAGGAGAAATATTGTCAGTGACAGTTTTAAGTACCACTTACAGAAGGGACTCAATCAAAGAGAAAACTCACAAGCCATGAAGGAAAACCTTTACAGTCACAGGGCTCCTTAAAAGACTTGTCTAAAGGACGTGATGGTGGAGACCACACTAGACTATACAGTCACTTCTCTCTCAGGCTGGTAACACTCCACTCATGATAACAAACTGTATTTTCCCATCAAATCCAGTATTTGGCTACTGATGAGGCACACGTCCCTGGAAGTGCTGAGCAAGAGTGACCCTAGGGCAAGATAGACAAGGTCTCTGAGGTATCCCAGTGAAGGCCTCTTCACCAGCAGCAATCCTGTCCAGCCTCCAGAGACGACCTGCAGTCCTAGGTTCAACCTTGGTCATTTTTGTACCTGGCAGGGTATCCAAAGGTGTCCACGGTACCCATGAGACACTAAGGGCACCTGGAGAAGAATTACTGCTATTTTCTGGATTGGTGAAGTTGCTCAGTTTCCCAGTCAAGTTCTTTGCTCATGCCAAACCATAAGCAAACAGGCTGCTGAAAGCAGTCTCTGGGTCTGGTGAAGACCTCTCAGCCCAGTAAATCTCACAGCAGTGGAGTGAGGTACTTCCTTAGTCTTTGATTTAGCCATGACACCAGAAGATCAACTACTCAAGCACTGAACACCTTTTGCATGTTCACCATCCACAGCTTCCAATGATTTCAAGGTGGGCTCAGGGGCCAGCATCCTTCATGTCCAGGCTCCAAGAACGTGGACGCTTCCACTCACAAAGGAACAGAGGACAGTGCTCAAAGCATGGGAGACGCCTTCCTTCTGCATGCACCCACATCAGTAAAATGGAAACGGCGGCTTTCACTTCCTGTGAGAGAACTGAATTCCTTGCTTAATTATCTGTAGGTCTGCATTTTAGCTTGGGCTGGATTTCAATTATTAAGTGCCTTGGACAAAGGTGACTTCTACCTATCAGGCTCAAGCCAGGATGGTGAGACAAGTACAACAATTTTTAAAAATATTTTAAGGGAAGAATGATAACCAGCGTGTGCAGGGGGAAGATCCCCAAGATGAAGGCTCTCTGCACCTCTGTGTTTTGGTTTGCTGTGAGCAGCTACAACTGCATGAGATCATCCAATTGACAAGACAGGGCTGGTACTAGCACTTCTTGCTGAGTATCTGCCTTCTTACCGCAACCAATATCAGACGCTTTAGAAGGAAGAGACATACATTGATAATGCTTCTGGACTGCCACAGAGTGTCTTACAATGAGAAAAAATAGTTCTGACCTGGAAAGGCTAAGGCAAGCATAAACTTGAACTCAGACCCTGCCTTAACTGGCACAAACCCAAACAATTCTTAATGTTTATCAAAGTCCCCTCTGGTTAAAAGTCTTGATTGATTACTTGCAGCAGGCAGGTGCCACAGCACATACTGCCATTCCCCTGGAACTGGGAAGAGAAGCATCCTTGGAAAACCAAGGATGACCGAGGAAGACCTTGGGAAGAACAGTCTACTACTTCCTGGAACTCTCTGAATAAGCCTTTACAGTCCCCACCTCAAACCTGGCCTACCACAGTAAAGGAACTCCTGATGAAGGATGAAGCACTCGTGACACAAAAGGCCAGAAGGATGGCTCATGAGATGGGTGAAATGAGCATCTTTACATTACTGTCTCTGGTTGCTCTTCTCAGGTGCAACTTAGAGTGGAAGACTGACGAGGGAAAACGGATGGAGAGAGCTGAATGGCAGGATGGGAAGGTGGGAAAGGGACTGCAAAGTGGATGCAAAAGGAGTGGAAGCTGAAGGAAGGAGGCAATGGACTTACCCCGGAGCCCAAGGAGTTGACCTCGGTGGAGGACTACAGCTAGGCACAGGCAAGGAGTGGGAACGCAGAGGGGCACGGGAAGAGACAGGCAGGATGGGAGAAAAGAAAAAGGTGATTACTGGGAGAAAATTCAGGAAGCAACAAAATTGTATAAAACCTAGAGAAACCGCAACAGGAGCTAGAGGCTCAGATCAGTTTATACCAACACTGTTCTTGCTCACTTTGCTCTTATCTTGCAAGGACAAATGTACTATCTGAGATGGGAGAGGGACCGTGGTCACAAGGATCCAGTGCTGAAGCTGCTAGTGAGACCTTACTGCTTACCTCATGTTTACAGAAACACCAAAAGACAGTGCCACTGGTTTACATTAGGGAACAAGCTTAACTCAGAATTAGAGCAGCAGCCCCAAGAAGGAATGGGCTTTAAAACACGGATTCAGAAATTAAACCGACTGCACGTGCAAAAGACTTCCTGGTGTCAGCCCCAGGCACACCCAGCTTCATTAGCCTTAGAGGAGACTGTCTCAGCCCTGGCTTCCAGGAGGATTGCAGCAGGTTTGCTCCTCTTCTGAAAGAGCCATTTGCTTCTCAGATTTCCTGCTAGATGTGGCGAGAAAATGTTAATTTGACTGCTTTCTGTTGTAAGCAACTGCAATCAGCCTCAAATCCTACTCCCCCATTATAATCTGGAACAGCCCTACAAGATTAGATGCTGGCTATCAGGTACAGAACAGGATTACTAAAAGCTTCAACGAAACTCCCAGCTCCAGAAACGCACCTATTAACTACTACTGCTGGGTGTCCTCACCAGCTTGGATTTGGTGTAAGATACTGGCTTCTGAGCCACAATTTCAGTAAATGAAGCTTTTCTAAGGTCAGTTTCTGGAAAATACTGTTATGGAGATGTTTAGATGTCTGTACCAAAATAAAATTTCCAGGGAGATCTTCCTGGTGACATCTCATCCCATGGCCTCCTTTTGGAGACTTAATAAAATTCCAAAAGCTTTGTTTCTCCTGCTTTCTGGTAGCTACGGAATCAGTTCACATCAGTCTACTCTGTCAAGGCCATGCTCAAAAAAGAAGACTCTACGGATGGCAGAGATGTCATTAGTCCCCCCTGAAGGAGTTGGCTTCAGCTGAACTTCATGGGACAGTAACAAATACCTACTTGGTTTTAAACAGGTTAAATCGACTGAACACTTAACTCCTTAATAAGGAAAAGTAAAACCAGGTTCAGGGTTTCTTATACTCAGGGTTCTTCTCTCTGAACACTGCTGTGATCACAGTTGTGTCAGGTTCAGAGTGAAAACGTCCAGCCAGCATTAGTCTGCCAGAGCCTTCTGCCATGCTGCGTAAGTAATGTGCAAAAGCATTCTTTTTTGGGGGGGAATGCAGAAGTATCTCCCATAAACGTCACTTACTTTCAGTCAGTGGAATGGAGATGACGACACCGTTCCCTGTCCCCACCCAGAGGCGATTGCCAGCAATGAGCAGGGCTGTAATCCGCACGAATGAGAAGCCCAGCTTTCCAGTGCCTAGTAAGCATGCGTAAGAATTGGAGAATCAGTTACGACTTTGGGCAAGGTCTGTTGATGATTTTTTATTTCTTTCTGATGTCAGCGAGCAACAGACCATTTACTGACAGTCCCTGCTGCCTCACCTAGCATTTTGCTGACGTAAGGCTCAATGTCGACGTCTTGCAGATGTTGATGGCTGTGGGCATGGTAAAGCCTCAGAGTGGAGTCCAGGCGGATAGAAACCCATACCCCATCTCCAATCCATGCCAGCTGTCGCACCTGACTCTCCCGCCGAGGGTGGGCATCAAAGGATTTCTGAAATGCCAAATAGGTGAACCAGTGTGAGTTCACAAAAGGTTTTGCAATTATCTACACATATACTCCATTTTCCTCAACTAGAATCATTTGTTTGGGTTTCAAAGCTCTTGGAGAAAATGAGTTAATGCCAGTTGACATCAGATGTTCACTACATCATACAGAAATCCCTCACTTGAGATGTGGAGGTGTAGAGCAGCTCTGCGAAGATTCTGGTCTTTCCAGACCATTTCAGGAACAAGAACATTTTGAAACCAAGAGCTTTCAATGTACGTGGTGGAAAAGGAGAACACACAACTCCAGTACAGATTCCAAAGACCGAACTGCCTTGGCTCACTGCTGTGAACTCAGATTCAGCACTGCTTCTCCCTTTGATTAATAATTACTCAAGCACTGTCAAATAGGTTTGAACCAACATCACTGTGCTGAATTTCAACCAAAAGGCTCTACACGTCACTTTTTCCTTGGTCAAGTGGGATGGCTGGGGCTTGCTACGTGTACTCTTCCTTTGCGCCACAATGCCGATGGAAGTCTTAGACCGTATGTAAGGGTAGCTGTAAAGCACGCACGTACATCAGTACAGTACATGGCGTCACAGACTCACTAGGAAAGGCAAAGAAAGCGCTCAGTTTACACTCACATAAAGATTTAAGCTCTGGAAAGAGACAAAGGAATAGAATCACAGAGTGGTTTGGGTTGCAAGGGACCTTAAAGATCATCCAGTTCCAACCCCCCTGCCATGGGCAGGGACACCTTCCCCCAGACCAGGTTGCTCCAAGCCTCATCCAGCCTGGCCTCAAACACTTCCAGGGATGCGGCCTCCACAGCTTCTCTGGGCAACCTGTCCCAGTGCCTCCCCACCTGCTCCGGGAAGAACTTCTTCCTGATATCTAATCTAAACCTCCCCACTTTCAATTTAAACCCGTTTCCCCTTGTCCTGTCACTACAGGCCCTTGTAAAAAGTCCCCCCCAGCTTCCTTGTAGCCCCTTCAGGTACTGGAAGGTGCTATAAGGGCTCCCCGGAGCCTTCTCTTCTCCAGGCTGAACAAGCTCAACTCTCTCAGCCCATCCCCATGGCAGAGGGGCTCCAGCCCTCGAATAAATATGCCCCTGGCAGACTGGGTCATAACATGACCCAGACTGACAGTCTGGGTCCTACAGTCAGCAATGACAATACAAACGTTCTGCCTTTCCATGCACTGCAGCAGCAAACAACTGTAAGAATAAATACAACACAAGCATGCACATGCATACACACACATGCTCTCTTACCTCAATCTGCATTGTCTTAGGCTGGATAACATGGATTTTGTTCTTGTAGCCACACCAGACCCTATCATACACAACAGCCATGCATCGGATGGAATGGTGCGTGTGACCGAGGTCCATTAGGTGGTAATTGCTGAGATCCCACTGACCATCTAAGGTGAAAAACAAGTGTGGAAAGATCCATCTCCTTCATGACATGTCAGTATACAATGAATCATCTACCTCTCCTTGTATATCAAGGTATAAAGGCTTAGCTAATACTCAAACGCACATTTTGCTTATGTCTGGGAACTTCCCATGAATCCATAATATTACTCTGGACACAGCATTATGCTTCGGAAACACATGACAATAAAGTTTAGTTTAATGGCCCAATAGGTCTCCAAATCAGGCTAATTTAAACATCCTTTTATTGTAATAACGTGATCAGGCTTCTCTGACAAGTACAACAAAAACAGCGGGGGAAGAGGAAAGACAGTCTAACAAGACTAAGGGGAAATTGAAAAGGAAATGGACCTTGTGGTGAGGCTTCCTCATATGACTGACAGACAACATAACTTCCCGAGTGTCAAATTCAGGATCAGGAATTAATCTCCTTTCTCTCACACTTACTTTCTAACAAACCAGGCAGATACCGTGTCCTTCACAGACAGGTGGCCTCTATGTCATGAGGCTTTATCCTATTTCTGATGGGCACAATTTTTATGTATCAGTGGTCAGGCTTGAACTCATGGCAAAGGCTGAATCAAAATTTAGACTGTACAAAACTAGAAATCTCTATGCTTCAGCTTGCTGGATAAAGTACTACGCAATGAATAATTAAGTTCTTAATATGCAAATATTAGTCATAGCAAATTCCAATGTGTCATGTCTAAATGTGACATGAATATCTTGATTGTGTCAAATGAACATTTTGTCTTGAAAGTCTCAGGTGGGTGGGGCAGTCTGTACACTCAGAGCACCTCAACCAATGGAGAAATGAGGAGAGTCTCTTGCGGTCAGGAAAAGTAGGATAAAAGGGGGCTGCATCCCTCTGTAGGTTGAGAGAACCCACAGGAATATGTCCTGTGGACTCTCCCTTTATTCAAATAAAGTTTTATTATTATTTTTTACAGGACTCCTCCATCTCCTCTGTGAACACTGACTCCTGGTAGCGTGATTTTCCATACATAGAGAATCCCAGCTCTGCCTGCTGTGTATGCCATAATCACTTCCACTACTTACACACAGAATCCAACTCTCTGGGAAGCAACAGGCCTATTTGCTACTGCACAGATGATCTGCTCAGGTAAAGCAGGAGCTGTGTGGAGCTCCCCGTGTGTGCCTTGTTACAGCTGATTTGTGAATGCACAGTAACACCATAAGAGCCCAGGTGGATTAAACTTACCAACTGTGCCTCAAACGACTGCACAGCGTGTGCTTTCCTGCAAGCCTTATCACACATGTGCTGTACAAAACATACACACATGCTTTAGTTCAGAAAAGCTCAGAAAATGGTGTTAAGGCATGCCTTACATGTTTTAGGATAAGGATTACATGTGTAGAATAGCTGTGCCTTTTAACCCTGTTTGCAGTCTGGCAAGCCAGCACCTTTCCTTCGCGACTCAAACAGCATTTAATGTATTGCTACACTTTCAGCCAAGCTTGGTTGTCTCTTACTACACTGATACTTACCTTCACCACGGTGGAATATGGCTAGTGTTCCATCTGCCAGCGCAACAAGAACCCTCCCTTTCACATGCCTAAAATCACAGAAAAGTAAATACTTACAAAAATCAATAGAACTAAGGGACTAACAAATCTTTTCTGACTTCCATGCACACCATCTTTATGTTTTCTCTGCAACTGCCATTCAGTTTGGCACTTGAGGAACATCCTGCAGCACCTCTTACCTTCTTTGTATTAAGATCATCCCTAAATTTCCTGTTGAGGTTAACGTCTCCTTCACACTACAAACTTCATCAGTTTCAACAAATTCCACCTAATTTACACCCTAGTGAAATTTTGCCTCTCCTCCTCACTTATTTCCTCCTGATACTGCTAAGATCATTTAGTACCTTATTCCTTGAACTGGATCAGGTCTGCAGTTCAGCAAGCAAACGGCTCAGTATGAGGCCTTCCAGTACCTAAACCTTGGGAAACCTTCCTCACAAACCACTGTACTTGGAAGAGCAAAGAAAAAGATGACTGACAAAGAGCCACCTAAATATCATCTAAAATATCACCTAGGCACTGAACCTTCTCCTTCGGTGTCCCTTGGCATGCACACTTACACTAGACTCAGTACAGAGTCCTTCAGCTTTATCGAGTGCAGACACTTCTTCCAGTTGTATACAGCCGAGTGCACATAAAGCCTGGGAGAAAGGACAAATTGAGACAGTTAGCAATGAGACCCCACACCTTCAGCCTGGCTAGGCTTGAGTCTTTGCTGCTGGTAGGAAAGGTGCCTGAGGCTGGGTAAGAAAGTGAGGTCAAATCCCTGTGCCTATAATGAGCTGAGGGCTCAGGACCACAGTGAGCAATGAAAACCTACTCCAGAAACACAAAATGAACTAAAGGTGTGAGGACAAGAAACTGGAGCCCAGAGGAGAATGGAGGTGGTTCCAGATAGATTGGCCTGCCCAAGGGAAACCTACCAGCCATTCTGTGCTCCCAGCCACATGGTGGGGGCAGCACTGGTGCAAGTCCCAGCAGCATCCCCATTCAACTCCTGATCTGGCAGTGTTGTGCTTGACTCCGTCTTCAGCTGCCCACTCTCCCTGAAGAGACAAAAGAATATTGTTAGAGGCTTTTATTATCAGCAATGCACAGAATACCCATCTAGACTTACAGTCATAGAATCACAGACTGGTTTGGGTTGGAAGGGACCTTAAAGCCCATCTAGTCCCAACCCCCCTGCCATGGGCAGGGACACCTTCCACTAGACCAGGTTGCTCCAAGCCTCATCCAGCCTGGCCTCAAACACTTCCAGGGATGGGGCATCCCCAGCTTCTCTGGGCAACCTGTCCCAGTGTCTCCCCACCCTCTCCAGGATGAATTTCTTCCTGATATCTAATCTAAACCTCCCCACTTTCAATTTAAACCTGTTCAGTTTAAACCAGTCTGGCATTCACGAGCAGATAAGGGCACTTGTATACATAAATCGCTTCCTTCTCTTCAGTGTTTTTTAATTGTTTGACTCCTGAATCTGCAATTTGCAAACCTTCTCACCCCTCTCCACCGCACCCCCCCCCAATACAAATCGCAATTATGTCAGATTTATGGAACTTGTGTTAATGTTTGGCAGTACTATTATAAAAATATTCTTTCCTCTGTTCATTTCCAACTTCAACAGAAACAACTTAGAAAAACTTGGTCATGTAGGAACAATTTCTATCCAAGGCTTTCCACCTTGCTCCTCAGGCCACCACATCAGACACATTTGTCTTAAGAATTTTTGTGTGGTGAATATGCTTTCTTCATTATCTTTACAGGACATGACAGGTTCTACCAGAATAAATCCATCATCATTTTTACACATGAATCAATAAGCTTCTTCAGTAAGACCACTAAGTGTACATGTACTTTGGAAGATCTGCCTTAACAGCAGGTCTGAATTCACACTGAGAGATCTAATATTTGCACTTACACAGCTGACAGTCTCCTGCAGGCTGAACCATGCTTATTTTTACTTTATTTCTTTCTCTTGCTATCATCCCATCTATAATATTATTTGGCACAAAACTGGAAGAAGTTTGACATCTTATCAGAAGATCAGGCTGGTTCTCCTATCAAAATCTTATGAAAATACAGCTGACAAACAACTGAACTGGCACATTGGCCCCAGGCTGCCTACCCGTTCTGCCTAAGAGATGCCTGTGCAGGGACTGGATCTGTAAACACGTGCTCGGTGAGGGGCCCAGGCTGGGCCTGAGCAGGCTCTGCCTCGCTTGTACCATTCTCTGGTACCTCTGTAGCTTCTGTTGCCTCCTCAGTAGACTGGGACTGGTTGATCTTCCCATTGCAGACAGCAGCCACCTCACCTAAAAGACGAAGAGCAGTGTGAGGCATACTGGAGAATGAGATGGTAAGTTAGGTATACAGAAATCAGGCTGTCAATTTTTTAATCAATCCTTCCTTGCCAAATTTGGTCAAGCCTTGAGACTGCACCACAGACAGCAGTGTTTTCTGCTTGGATGGGAAACAGAGGCTATTTTAAAGCGAGGCACAACTGTGACTAGCAAAAAATCACAAGTTCTCCATGGCTGCCCACTGCAGCATGGAGTTAGCCAGGGCATCGTTACGGTTTTCATATGAGCTTAACTGACCACAAGAAGACATGGTTCAGAGGAGAAAGCAATGAGAACAGAAGCTGTTGTAGCAGGGCAAACATATCACCTGTCCAAAATACTCTGCTATATGACCCCCCACAACCAGGCTGCAGGATGTGGATCACTCAGGGAGAAAAGGAGGGCTCTAAAGAGAAATGTACCGAAAGGGCTTTTGGTCTTCCTGTACCTCATTAAGAAACTTCTTGAGGCTTCTCAAGCAGTTAACTCAGGGACAGGAGGATGCAGCTGTGAGATTGTATGCTCATATGGGACTACCTATACTTAGACTGCCATTAAGTTTTATGTCCCAGAACTCACTCTGTCCCTTGTCCAGCACAGGTGTGTCGCCACGTGACGAACAGTTGCTTCGTGGCACATTGCAGCGGGTCGCACAGCCCACCAGAGTGATTCCTGCCAAGACACCATCTGTTCCAGATGACTCTTCAGGATTTACATCTCCCTCCAGAAAGATCTCGCCTGGAGGATAATCACTCTCACTGGCCGCTGAAGGGCAAAGAACAGATTCTCCCATAAATCTAGCTGTCACTGCTAATTTAAATGTAGCAGTACTCCTGAGGTAACCATACAGATGGAAGATGCTGACCCTCAGGGTTCACTATCCCAGGGAGGCACCACACCATCAGTCAACATCATGGCGAATCCCCTCATCCCTAGCATCAACATCCAGGCCAGCTACAGAGCCCTCCCAAACCTGGACAAGGCTCACTCTTGCTCCCAAGAACCATCCTCTACGTGCCAAAGGAACCACTTAGTAAATATTCAACAGTGAGAAACCACCATGAAAAGGTCCTACAACAAGGCAAGATCCGAGTTATGGTTTCGAGGGACAATTACAGAATGCAGCAGGGTCCAAGGGTCAGTTCTGAAGTGACGACACTGCATTTGTCACTCCTCAGTGGAGCGGGTGACTCTGGGCAGATCACAGCCAGTGCCTGGGCCCCACTTACCAGGGATGCTGGAGATGCAGAGCACATGAGCATTACAGACAGTGAACTGGTCCACCACTGTGCCAGGCTGATTGGCATCAATAATTACAACTTTACTTGTTGACAGCGTACTAGTGAGGATCCAGACACGACTGGATGTGGCATCCATTTCATGGAGCTCTTTTGCCTTCAGGAAAGCAAACAGGCAGAATGAGTGCCCCTCTCAGATCAGACAGCGTACACAGTAGTGCTTGGCAACATTTACACATGCAAATACCACAATGCCAGCTTTGAAGAGCTAAGCCTCTTCCCAGCTGATGCAAATAAACAACATAAGCAATGCAATTTTAATTCACGTTGCTGCACTAGTATCTGGAACAATGGCCAAAGAGCCTATCTGGCTCCTTAGGGCAAGAGGAGTTGCGCCATTCATTTCTCTTCTCACATGTCTGACTAAGATACCACTTTAGACAGAATATCATGGAGCTGGGATGCACTCAACCTACCAACTTGAGCAAGCTGGTCTTGGACTATAGAGCAGGAGTGTAAGACAGCTGTGGAAAAAAAATCCCACAAACCAGAAAAGATACAATGTTGTATTATTAACTGCAAATTACAGTTCGGTTCTTTAAAAAGAAAAAAAAAAGAAAAAACCAACCAACCAAACAGACAAACCCAACAAACAACACTTCAGTCTATTACAAAACAGAGCTGGAATAAATCTCAGTAACTTCAGCTTCTGAACCAAATGGACTCACAGGCTCTGCTGTGTCTATGTTCTTTTTAACAAAGCTTTGCTCAATTTCTGTTTTTAATGTACAGTGATGGGGACTCCATAATCTTCCTAGCAACCTCATCAAGCACCTAATTACCCATATCATTACAATTTTTTTTCCCAAAATTCCAAATGTTTCAAAAGCAGTAGTTGGAAAATTTTATCCTGGATGATTTATCCCAAATCACACAAAGTTACTGAAGAGCCAAAGCACCACAACCCTGCCCCATAAAACGATGCCTCAGAAGTACAAGCTAGAGCATTATATTGCATAGTTCAAAGGTATAGTTAGGGCATGTGTCAGAGATGGAATGAGAAAAAACACCGGGGTGGGGGGGGAAGGAACCTCTTTTCTTTCTGACCTTTTTCTTTTCCGGAGATGTGTGGTTACTTTTGTTGTTCTCGCCTTCCACTTCCCTGTCACAGGTGAGGGGATCATGTCCGGGATCCAGTTTCTGCCCATTCCCAGGCTCCTGCTCCAAAGGTCTCCATCCCATAAGATTGACTCCAGCTGCACACCACAGCTAAGTAACAGAAACAGGAATCTTAAACTAAGAATTCAGGAGCCTCCAGGGTATTTTTAAATTCCAGCACCTTTGTAGACATGTCAAACACCTAAAATACTTAGTTGGAAACAACAGATCTTGTTGATTTCTACTAGAAGACAGTGAAATTCGACAGAAGTAAAATAAAGGTTCTCTGTAACCTAGCAAAAATCACTGTTTTTTTTTAACAGACGTGACTAACAGATTTAAAGAAAATAAAGAAAATAAATCAGGTGCATAACTGAAAACAGGCTTCTGAAATGTCCTCTGTTTTTCTGACTCTGGGGTTCCAAAGTCACTGTAGCACTACAAGCAGGATATGGCAGACTTTCCTAGCTCAGGGTACAGTATGCATGACTGCTTAACTAAAACTGGCAGTGACTGCCTGGCTGAGGATACACATTCAGTGCGCCCCTGTTCCCTGGTTCCCCCCCCC